CACATTGTGTTTTGCAGTTTTTATGTGCGTTTTTTTACAATTACATATAAGAGAAACAACTTTTCATGTCCTAAGATAACCTTTCATTAATCATGAATTTACATAACTTCCGTCCAGATGACGGGTACTCCAGCTAGTACTTAATACATAGTATATTATACACAGTTCATAATGTCAAAGCTTGCTGATGTATCAGGATATGTTTTCCTTTGTAGAAGAATAAAAATTTATCCTAACAATTAATCAGCTAATTTTTTCACACTCATAATTTTGTCCTCGTATCATTAGTTCATCTCCTCTTAGTTGAAAGAGTGTATACTTCTCATATTTTTTCAATTTCCTTATTGTAAAACTAGGTGAACATGACTTTCATAATAACACTGTAGCAAAGTATAGGTCTAGAACAACCTAGATGGAATATTTCTAAATCTACCACATTATTGCTGGGGTTACCTGTGTATTGTTGTATAGAAAACTATGATTTTAACTGATAGCTTTAGTAATTTCTTTAGACTGCATGTTGTACAGAAAAAAAGATAAAATTATTCAATGTGATGCAATATATGGACCCCAACAGCAGTGTTGTTTTCTAAATTTCGCGCAAAGTTTTTCGATGACCATATGTGCTAATTTTGAAATGATATGCTAGAGAGAATACAACTAGTTAACATCACCCACCGCCAACTCTTTGGCGATTCTAATCGAATCGTTCAACCACGGACACACAGTCAGGTACTCTAATTAATCTAATCACTCGGCCCCACTAGTAGTAATTGATTTATTGCCTTTTGTTAAACACAAAGCTGCTTAATAGACTAACTATGTTCTGCCCGCCGCGGGTATCGAAACTCGATTTTAAGCGTTATAAGCCCCAGACTTACCGTTGAGCCACCGGGGGGACCAACGATAGATAGATGTCGGTAGTGAGCGGTGTAAAAACAGCTTGGTAATTTGAAGATAATATATGGATTTATTTATCTTTTAGCGTCAGAGAATTCTTCCTGCAAAAGAAAACTAATGGCTTTGATTCAAGTATTTATCATACATATTCGTTGTACGATGAGGAGAAAATTTATAGGATATTGCATGAACTGTTGGTATGTTAATTATTATGAGTTGTTATATTTGTTTTTCATACTTTTCCTTCAATGAAATATCTGATTTTACAAATGAAAACCCCGTTTAGAGAAGCGGTTTGAACCGGTTTGAAACGACGTATTAATAGTGATTCTTACCACAAAGAGTCGAGCTCGAAGGCTTTCAAAATCTGGACATAAACCTACCAATAATTGGGATAGTATTTACAGTATAACCTTAATAAATAAAAAAAAAGTTTAAAACTTCTATCGAAACGTACATCACTAACAGTAATACTTCAATTGCAATTGTAATGTTGAGCTAAACACCACTATTACTATTTGTATTAGTATAAGAGTATTAGTTTGTTGCGTTGTGCCGGTCTCAATTTTAAGGTTAGGCTTAGCAGAAAATAACTACTCGACTTCTCCAGGGTAATTTCTAGGTAGCCCTAGTAAAACACGTTCAAAATAATATATCAAACTTCAAACAATGTCGATATAAAAAAAATTAAATACCACAAATGTTAAATACAACATACCTTTCACTACAATGAAATCCTACCTCCTCCTTCTTACTCTTACCTCGTGTTGATGAGCTAGTACTAGTAGCAGTACCCTGTACAGTAGTATAATATATATATACTAATGGTAATATTGGAAGTGAACTTACAGCAAGATTTGTTTAAAGTTAAATCGGATTGCATCAACAACTATAGTATAATACTGGTCAGGCGATATAATAATGTCAGATTTTTCTATTGTGATAATTGTTTTTCTCGTATTATTTTTAAACTTTAAAATAAACTGGTATTGTACTAAGTGTAAGATAGCTTATATATACACTAGCGAATCACATACTAATTCAGGTTAATTGTAAGGTACTGTGAATTATACATATTATTTTAACATATCTTGGTATCTATCTATCTAGTCTAAATATTAAAATTGCATAATGGCAAGGTATGTTAGACATTTCGATTTTCATTGTGACTGCATTCAGCCCTATTTAGATTTGTGATGGTTCATTGCAATGCAAAAAGTTTTCATTAGTTTTCAAAAAGATATTAAAAATCAACATATCTTGCATACCTGATTTGGCTACATTTTTGTGATGAAACTTAGCCAGAGATTCTAAATATCAATAGTAAATAATCCATACTAGTAATGCAGTACTGCACAAAATTTATACAAATAAATATAAGATATATAAATATAATCACTAATGTGCATCTGACTTGTGTTGCTATTCTAATGCCTTAACCCTTTCAATATGGGTCACAGGTGAAAGGCCATGTTATCTCGTTTGTTGACTCGCATTCAAAAAGTAATTGAACTGCTATTTCAATAAATTTGGTATCAAACTGTAGATTATAATTCAAATTTTAGAACTATACATTACTCAATTTGTTAATTTAAAAGCAAATTTTAAAAAATGCAGATAAACATTGTTATTTGTGTTTCATGTGGTATGTTGAATGCAGCACTGGTTCATATTAGATGTTTGAGGAGTCAAAATACTAAGTCTATAGTTTCATACAAATTAAACTCAAATTACAGATATTGACAAGCTACAATTAAAATAAGGTCTTATCTTTTCTATATGCTAAGATATAGCTCATGTAATAAATCAAACATAGTGGCACCCTTCTCACCTCATTCAATTTTTGGAAACACTCCCTTATAAACGCTTCTACAACATAAATAACCAATTGGAAGCTCAGAATGTAACCCTAGCAGTTTTCTCAGCCTTTATAATGTTCCTTCTGACGTTTATTTCTTTTGAATCAAGATTTCAATGAGGTAGGTCGAACTTTCATATTTTTTAGACCCAAATGCAACTTGGTTACTATGTTTGATAAATTATAGTAGAATTCTATGGTATTGATGGAGTTACTTATGATTTTTTTAGTCATTCAATAGTGTGTGTGTGTATATATATATATAACCCTAAAAAATTATTTTTTATGTCCTCCATGTGCTAAAATTTTTAAAGGCTTAGCAACCAGGTACAAAGGTTGTAACTAGCAGATATAATTTTTGCTTTACTTCTTTAGTTACTGTTCTGTGTTTTCATAAAAGATAGTTTAAGAACTGGTTTCAAAATAGCAATAATCTAAATACATATGTAATGTATAATAAAGGTCTGTTTTATGTTATTGGATATGGTAACATGAGTACTGTGTCATCGTAACTTCTGTATTGTTAGCCAGGCACAGCTGAAAGGTCAATATAATAAATATATATAAATGTATACTGTTGTGAGATT